CGCTTTGAAGTTTTTCAGCACGCTCGCCATGTTTTAGAAGGAAACACATAACACAGACATATGATTTGTGAGGTTATGTAATTGTTTATATTTATGTTTAATATTATTATTTATGTTATTACATTTAAGAATGTTAATATAGTTGTATAGTATGTCTATGATTGCCGTAAGTCAATTAAACCGGGTTAATTTTTCTATGCACACCACATAAACAAAACTGGTTCCCTCTAAAACATGGCGAAACGTCTGCGCGAACGAGATGCGCGTACTTAATTTTCCATGGAGAGTGGACATTCTGATTGTTTATTATTCTGTGCCATGATCATGACTAAGAAACATGAGTTATCTTCAAAATTTAAAATGTGACAATTTTAAACATTAAACAATTGAACAATTTTATATAAACAAATTCTTAATATTTTCACGTATTTCAAAGCAGAAAAAAATAGAATATGCTAAATAATTATCCTCTAGTAAACAATAGAAAGGTCTGCAAATGGGTACAAATAATACCTGGATATAATATCAGGCTGTGTCAAAAGATATTAGTCACTGACTTAGACCCCAAAAAGTCATTGTCAATAGTGCGAATAAATGTTCGCAAAATTCTCAAAAGATAGTCTGGAAAGTTATGTGCTGCCATCTGCAGTGAAATCAGTGCATTTCTTGTTCTTTTAATGCTCTTAGGTACTTACGACAGAAAAACATTTCCCACATTTGAATGCCCATTTATAATTAAGAATAAAAAACAAAATTAGTTGATCGATTCTACTGTAGTGAACAACAGTAAGGTTTGAAGGAGGTATAAATGATGACTACATATGATGTCAGGCTAATTGTCCAATGGTATTAGGTTGGGCCCCAAAATAAAAGCCACAATGTCATAGTTAATAGCCTATAACGCCGGTTGGAGTGCCACTACGATAATATTAGTTCGAAACAGTCTGAAAAAGTGGCCTTAAAGGTATGAACTGTCACCTATAGTGAAATAATGGCGTTTCTGGTACTTTTTGGTCTTCATAATTAAGGCTGAAAAATTACTGCACATTTATCAAATTTGGATACCCACTTAAAACTAAGAAGAAAAGACAGCATGGGTTAAACAATTCGGCTTTAGTGAACTATAGAAATGGTTGTAAATGGGTATAAATGAGATCTGGATCTGAACATGTCTAAGTATAAAAACTATTTAGTTAGGCCCCAAAATGAAAGCTAAAAAACCATCGCCAATAGCTATTGAATACCACAACGATGATACTAGTTGGAAAAAAACCCAAAAGATGGCCCAAAGACATTTCCCACATTTGAATGCCCATTTATAATTAAGAATAAAAACGGAATTAGCTGATCTGAAAATACGTATAAATGATGACTACATATTTTATGATGTCAAGCTAATTGTCCAAAGATATTAGGTTGGGCCCCAAAATAAAAGCCAAATGTCATAGTTAATAGCCTATAACGACGTTTGGAATGCCACTACGATGATATTAGTTCGAAACAGTCTGAAAAGGTGGCCTGACAGGTATAAACTGCCACCTACAGTGAAATAATGTCATGTTTTATACTTTTTGGTCTTCATAAGTACTTAACGCGGAAAAATTACTGTACATATATCAAATTTGAGTACTCACTTAAAATTAAGAAGAAAAAACAGAATTGGTTGAACAATTCGGCTTTAGTGAACTATAGAAATGGTTATAAAATGGGTATAAATGAGATCTGGATCTGAACATGTTTAAGTATAAAAACTATTTAGTTAGGCCCCAAAATGAAAGCTAAAAAACCATCGCCAATAGCTATTGAATACCACAACGATGATATTAGTTCGGAAAAGACACAAAAGATGGCCTGAAATATAGCATAATCTACTTCCATATAAAGTGCATCTCACGTTTTATATTCAGTATGAGTTAAACGGGAAAATTTAACAATGTTGCTCGATGTAACTATTATAAATACTTCTCTCTGTGTTTATGTTCTGTGTCAATACAGTGATAGGTTATATTATAATTGTGTCAATGCGATTATTGGTTGTTACTGTGAATTCAAATAAAACCACCCCATTTAAATTTAAATTTATTCGGACTCATTAAACTCATTCATCGACGCGTCAACTATTTTCTGGAATAGATATGTAAAGATATATTTAATATGAAATGTTGGAATTAAGCTGGAATAACATTTGTAATTAAAACCTATCAAGACAAAAAAAACGAAGATTGGTTCGATGAAGAGTGCAGACATATCAACCAACAAAAAAACGAAGCATATAAGAGACTCCAGCAGCGCAGAACGAGAATAACCCTGGAAGATTATGAAAATCTTAGAAGAGAAGAAAAGAGAATGTTTAGAAGAAAAAAGAAAGAACAATACGAACATGCTCAAAACGAAATTGTTAACCACCACAATGGAGAAGACTCACGAAAATTCTACCAACAGATAAACAGCTGCAGAAAAGAATTCAAACCCAGAATAATAGCCTGTAAAGATAGGGACGGTTCCATAATTAGTAACAAAGAACAGATTCTAAACAGATGGGCGGACCATTTTGAAGAACTGCTTAGCGGCAATCACGAAAATGGCGAGATTGAGGATCCCATGTTTCAAATGAATGAAGATGATCGGCAACCACCCCCCACCGAAGAAGAAATTAGAGAAGACATCGCAACACTGAAAAATAATAAAGCTCCCGGTTCGGATAATCTCCCTGCCGAACTTTTCAAAAATGGCGGCGACCCCCTCATGAAACACATGCATAAACTGATAACTGCAATTTGGCAACAGAAAGAAACACCCACAGACTGAAAGTTAGGTGTACTGTGTCCTATACACAAAAAGGGAGACATGATGGTGTGTGATAATTATAGAGGCACCACTCTACTCAATATGGCATATAAAGTGTTTTCCAACGTATTGTACAAAAGACTCCTCCCCTACGCCGAACAAATAGTGGGAGGATATCAGTGCGGTTTCCGTCCTAATAAATCAACAACGGACCAGATATTTACAGTGAGGCAGATCCCTGAAAAAATCCTAGAGTTCGGTGTCGACACCCACCACATATTTGTTGACTTTAAAGCCGCATACGACTCCGTTAATAGAAATAAACTTCTACTTGCTATGGTAGAATTTCGCATTCCGTTTGATCTTGTCCGGTTAACTGAACTTACACTCACACGTGCAGAGAGCATGGTAAAAATCCAAAACGATCTCTCAAGACCCTTCCATTGCAAAAATGGACTAAGACAGGGTGATGGACTATCGTGTCTCTTATGTAACCTGGCATTAGAAAAAATAATTCGAGAGTCGCAGATTACTACGAATGGTACTATCTTTAACAAATCAGTACAAATTGTTGGATACGCAGATGCCATAGACATCATAGGTAGGTCCACAGAATCTCTGACTGAAACATTTCGGTCGTTAAGAGCATCTGCACACAGAATGGGACTAAATATAAATGTTCAAAAGACCAAATATATGTGTTGCACTAGGTCAAGCAACCCGACACCTACACGAATAATAATTGATGACCTAGAACTGGAAGGTGTTGACACCTTCATATACTTAGGGTCGCTGCTAACCAAAGATAACAACGTCAGTGAAGAAATCAAAAGAAGAATAGTGCTCGCCAATAAGTGTTACTATGGCTTAAGAAGACAAACTGACTGTATACAAAACACTAATAAGACCAGTGCTAACATATGGTACAGAAACTTGGACACTAACACAGAATGACCAAGAATTAATCAAACGTTTTGAGCGAAAAATACTAAGACGAATATATGGAGACATAAAAGAACAAGGTTTGTGGCACAGGTGCTACAATTTTGAGTTGTATAGAAGATTTGGAGAAAATGACGTTGTAAAATTCATTAATACAATGTAGCACGCCTCAGACGGATAGGTCATGTAATCAGACGAGAGGAAGATGCCATAGTCAGAAAAGTTTTTGACCGAAGAGGGCCGATCGGACAACGAAGAAGAGGAAGACCGAGACCGAGGCCGAAAAAGCTGTAACGGCACTGATGATGATGATGATGAACATTTGTGATTTATAGTATACTAAACTTTTATTTATTTACAATTAATTTTTTAAGAATTATTCCCATGATTTCACTTATCAAAATGGAACTGGCAACAATACAATGAATAGTAAAAGAGGCATATCGTCCATAAGTACCAGTAGTGAATATACTAAATATAAAACGTGAGACGGACTTTAAAATTATTTTATTTCTTGGGATTTATATTAGAATATCTAAATATACTCGGAGAAAACAAATTTTTAGCCTCTATGTGTTTATTTTTATTATTTGATTAGAATGTTGACACACTGAGAAGAATAAAAATGCAACAATGTTATCAAAACCTGAATAATGTCGAAGACTTTCCATAACAGAAAGAAAAAAGAAAAATCTACTGAACACCGCACTTAAGCTTACCACAAAAGTCCTAACCAACAAAATTAATAAACCAACAACTTTATCAGATGAACAACAAGGATTCAGATCCGGAAGATCCTGCGTAGACGCCGTATTTGTACTAAGACAAATCGCAGAAAAGGTCATCGAGTACAATAAACCAGCATATCTATGGTTTATAGACCTGACAAGGCTTCCGATAGCATCCAAGTCGAAGACGTCTTACACCTACTGTATAAAAGAAACAAACCAATCAATATTATACAAACCATCGAAAACATCTAGTTCCATAATCGAACACAGGTAAAGATAAATGGAAAGCTAACACAGTGTATACCAGTACAAAGCGGAGTCAGACAGGATGACTTGTTAAGCCAACTTTTCTTTAATATAATAATGGACGAAATAATACAAGCCGTACGTAAAGATCATGGTAACAGAATGAGCAACAAAGAAATCCAAATATTATGTTATGCAGACGACGCCGCATTAATCGCCGAGACAGAAGACGAGCTCCAAAGATTAACACAAATCTTTAATCTAACCAGAATAAAACAAATGTATGACAATATCTAAATAACCACTACGATGTAAAATCAAAATTGATGGGAAAATAACAAAGCAGGAAGCAAGGTTTAGATCTCTGGGAATAGATATAATTAGTTACGGAGATGTTGAAGAAGAAGTACGACAACAAAGCTTAAAAGTAAGTAAAGCGAAGGGATCTCTTAATGACACACTCTGGAAGAACAAACACCTAAGAGAAGATACAAAAACAAGAATCTATAAAGCAGTAATTAGACCTATATTAACATACACGGCTGAGACAAGACCTGACACTTACTAACGACTACTAGAAACAACAGAGATAAAAATACTCCGAGTAATATCAGGGAAACGTCTGTTAGATAGGGAGAGAAATGAAAAGATAAGAAGGGCATGCAATATAGAAGACATAAATGGATGGATGACAAAACGGAAACAGGAGTGGAACGAACACAGTAGAATAGCAGAGTACGACATAGTCACCAAATGGACGAAGAAATATGGCAGAATAAAAAAAGATGGTGCGATAATTTAAACAATTTAGGAGGCTAATATTAAAGAGGAAACAGGCTTTAAAACATAAATACAAGAAGGAAGAAGAGAAGAAGACTTTCCATAACAGTAGCATTATAGGATGGGCTCTCATTAAATATAACAGTTCTAGTTCATCTATTACGAACAAACTTTTAAAAACCTCATTAAAATTAAAAAATTCTAAAACTAAAATATTACCGTTCAAAATATATTAACAATATACAGTATCTGTTAACAAATTTTATTTAAATTCGTTAGTAAGGAAGATATTAGGTCAACTAAACTTTGAAATACGCGTTTCTGGTCAAATATGATGCTGCAATGAAGATGTTCCACAAGAAATTATTGGATTCCACTACCTCTAAATCTGGGGAAAATACTCAATATAGCTGTAACATTATTTATTAATCGAGATTCTGTTAGATACTCATAGTAATCAATACATTTAGAGTATAAAAACAGTGAAAAAGGATCATTTGTTAAAAAAAGAATAAAAACAGTATACTTAGTACAATATCCGCTCAGTAAAAACAAAACGTTCATTCTTAATTCCACATTGACGAAACGTCAGTGAAGTAATTAAATTGTCAATATCACATTCAACACCTATTTTTAGAAACTAAGAGATCATACGATGGCTTTGGGTGCGAATCTTCTTGTGCACCGCTGACAATCCAGAATGATGTCTTTGTGTCGGCTGCATAGAGGGTGTCCGGTTAGTTTTCCTCAACAAAGTGGAACTCGGCGACTCCACCCACAACTCGAGCGAATATAAAGCGGCCAATTGGCCTAACTTATCCCTCTCGGCGCCGTACAGTCTCAATTCGGATTTGGAAGTGTCTTGTAAAAATTTTGAAACTCTTTCATTGGCGCTCGTGTTTATGCTGAAACCCGGTCGTTCTTCTCTCAATCTTCTGCAACCTAATATTTAAATAAAACGATAAAATTACAATAGTTTATGGCGTAAACAATATTATTATATGTAAATTTTGTACAATTTTACTAATACACTGCACAACAAAATTAACGCATAATTTGAAAATTATAATTTCAGTCGTAATGAAACAATTTTTGTTAGTTGTCTTGTTCTTTAAGGGTTCTTTTAGAACATCTGAAATAAAAAACTTTTTTTTTCACGAAAAACAAATTGCAAAAATAAGGAAATTTCATGAAAAATAAATTGTTGTTGGACGGATGAAGATCCGAAAGGCACCTGGCATAGATGGAGTTATCCCGGAGACAGTAAGACTCGCCGCACTAAAATACCCACAGGTTTTCCTGAGATTGCTAAACAAACTGCTTGAACAACCGCAGTTTCCAAAAATGTTGAAAAAAGCTAAGGTTGTTTTTATCCCGAAAGGTAGAGGTGAAGAGGAAGAGTTACGATTTCGGCCATTTTGCCTTCTTACTTCGGTAGCTAAATTGTACGAGCAGCTTGTGAAAGGCCGCCTTGAGCGAGAGCTGGAAGAAAAGCATAGGGCCAAACTGTCCACCATAGATGCTGGCACAGAAGTAACCGTTTTAGTCAAGCAGGATACAAAGAGACGGGTGGCTCTCAACCTGCTTGACGTCAAGAATGCCTTTAACACGGCATCATGGAAAAAAATCATGTTCTGGCTGTGAGAATTGGGCGTTAGTGAGTACCTGGTCAACGTAATTGACAGATACATTACTGACAGGTCCATAAGAGAAAAAGATACCAGCATCAGTTTGTCGCAGGGTTCAGTACTAGGTCCCATCCTGTGGAATGTTCTGTACAACGGGGAGTTAAAGGTACAGATGCCAAGGTGATGCACTATGCCAAGGGGATGCACTCTTGTATTTTATGCCGATGATCTCGCACTGGTTGCGAAAGCAAGTCAGAAAACGGGCATGGCTAATGCGGCTAACACAGCCCTGCGTCGTATTAGTAGGTGCATTAGAGAGAACGATCTACAGCTAGAGCCTCAGAAAACTGATGTGTTAGTTCTCAAAGGGAGCTGGGACAAATCCTCTCTTCGCTTTTAGTGAAACGTGTGGAAGTTCCACCGGTTAAATCGATTAAGTATCTCGAAGTCTGGTTGTCGGAAGGACTGAGGATCGGAGTACACATCCAAAAAACGGTAAAGAAGGCGAACCGAAATCTGGAGGCGTTGATATGGCTGATGCCAAACATTGGAGACCCAGGTAGCACCAAAAGAAGGGTGCTAAATGGAGTTTTCCAGTCGGTGCTAACCTACGCTACACCAGTTTGATGTAGCGCACTGAACACTGCGGAATACGCTAAACTGATGGAGACTTCGTAAAGACGAATGCTCCTCGGAGTATCTAGCGTATACAGGACCGCATCAAACGAGGCTCTGTATGTCATTGGAGCGGTGATACCGATCGTTTTGTTGTGTAAAGAGCGAGCGAGAGTGTATGTGAGGAGAATGGATGGAAATATAGATGAGAATGAGAGAGAAAGAACGATAGTGGAGTGGCAGAGAGAATGGACAAATGCTAGCAGAAGGGCAAGATGGACGAAGGAGCATATTCCTGATCGAGGCCGTGGTGGGAATGTAAGTTCAGGAAAGTAGACTACTTCCTGACGCAATTTCTGACCGGACATGGTAGTTTTGGCACCTTCACAAATAGAATAGGCAAATCTGCATCAGCAGACTGTACTGTTTGTGGGGTACCGGACACTTCCGCCCACATTTTTAACTTCCAAAGATGGGCAAATGGAAGGGGAGCTTTCGAGAGGGGAATGGGTTTCGGGCTGGATGAAAGAAACATGGTAAACATAATGTTGAGAGGAAAGAAAGAATGGAAAGAATGTACAGTCTGATTTTTGGGATGATGAAGTAGAAAAAGCAGGAAGACAGAGAAAGAAAGTGAACCAGGGATCTAAAATTGACTGCCATTATTATTTATTAGTTTATGGCTCAAACGAAAATTTTTTTTGATTTTCGGTAATAGGTATGGTTATTTTTAAGTTTTTTGTTTTTCATTTTAGTTGTTCATTCAGTGGCAAGACCACCTCTCTGGAATGGTGGTTAAGGTTTTAGCCAGAACACAGCTAATCCGGCACTACCCTGGGTCTTCTGGCCTAGTATCCTACTCGGATACATCTAACTAGACGTTAGATGTCTAAAAAAGATTTCCCCCACCGTTGCCTGCCAGAATTCAATCGATACCTTCTTACTGGAATCTGGCAATACGGCAATTTAAAAAATAAATAAATAAAACTAGCTAACATCATAAATAAATGAGGGAATTAAATTTTTTTCAAAAAATTTAGAAGTTCAAGAAAATTAAACTAGTAGCGAATATTGATTTCTTTTGCATTTATTACTGCTTGACAACGATCTCTCATACTGAGAATTACCATTGATCTATCTTGATCAATTTGATCCCAAATTTCAACTAATCACAAAAACAGTTGATCTAAAAGCCTTCCTTTCTTTCTAGCAAGAGCGTTCTTTTAAACGGCGTCCAAATTCAAATAGGAACCTTCTTGTGTTTTGTTGCACAGGAAATCTATGTAAGTATTTTTTGATTTCTTTCTCTGTAGTTACCCCTTCCAGTCCCTCCCTTATTTACTTATTTACGACCCAGCTCTCCACTCAAAACAAAAGTGGCCGTTTGCAAACGTTTCGGTTTGTTTGCTTAACCTATCGCCAGCCCAGTAATTGCTCAGTCGCCACTGTCAACCCCCTCCTAGTGATACTCAATGTGGTAGGCAAATTATACCGTCAAAAATTATTCACAATAAATAGTGCAAACCGCCCGACATGCTCTTTTAAAATATCTGTAATGTACCTGTGTGATGCAAGCCACCCGTGGTATATTCTAATTAACTCGTATGAGCCTCCAAATTAAGCCCACCCCATACCATTATCGAGCCGCCGCCATACTGTACAATCTCCTAAAGTGTTACACTGCGCGTAGTACTCCCAGCACTTCTGTACACTCTGTTTCGCCTGTCATCACAAAAAAGACAGTACCTGGATTTATCGATGAACAATATTCTTTCCCTATCGTCATTATTCCAAACATGTTCACGAACCAAATGAAATCTTTGCGACAAGTTATGTCATTATCGTATTTTGGCTGATTCTAAAGTGATAACCACACAAAAATTCATTTTGTAGGGAAAGTACTGGCAACGAACCTAGCCTCAGTGTACGAAGTGTCAAAAACCGGCCTTGATTAAGAGTTGTAAGCCTTCTACGGCCTTGACCGGGTCTTCTCTAGTTACTTTTAGTAACAGTAAAACGTGTTAAGACTTTTGTAATGGTTGACTGACGATAAAACATCTCACTTTTCGAGAAAATTTTGATTTTTTTGATGCTAGCGTTCATTTCAAAGGAGAAAACACGGAATAAAGTAAAGATGCATTTGAACATTCAGCATAACGAATATGTTTTTAATTTGCTTGCAAAAAACGGTAAAAACATCAGCGTTTTTTACCGTTCTTTCGATAAATTTTACAATATATCGGAGGTAACAATAATATATTATCACAAAAATCAAAACATTAAAATCATTTGATTTTCCAGAATTTCTAAAATTATGCGTTAATTTTGGCGTGCAGTGTATTACAAATTATTAACTAACCTGCTCTTATTTCTCGTGGATCAGAGTCATTAAAAGGTGGTTCCATTGCTGAAGAACTCTCCATAGATGGAGCCCAATCGGTAAGCTCATCATCGCCTTCATGACCTTCTCCCCCACTCCAGCTGATGCTACTTTCGCTTGCTATTTCACAATTTTCATCATAACTCTGTATTTCCATGGAGTTGGTCTAACAACAGAAACGTTATAATAAAATATGTACTATTTGAAGCCTAATAACTTTAAAAGAAATCATTTTATATAACTCATCATATATGGGGTTCGGCATAAATCCGACAACGCTCATAAGTCTGACAACGGTGCGGAAAAAGATTAAAACGAAGCATTTTCGTGCTTCAGACAGTTGTGTCGGTGTCATGATAGCACGTAGTCGTCGAGTAGACGCATTTTCAGAATGAATATCCGAATTTCAACAACAATTTCCGAACTTGCCGCTGCCAAATCGTTCAACAGTGTGGAAAATGTACCAGAAACTCTTAAAAACGGTCTGTGTTGACGACGAGCCACATTCTGGATGACTGGTATCTGTAACAACTAACGAAAATATGGAAACAGTAGCTTCCGTAGTTTCAGCGTTCCATTTTGTGGTAGGATGTAGCAACCTTCAAGCTGAACAGTACGGTCAATCGGCATACCCGCGTGTACTGGAACGACCAGAATCCTCAAATCTTCATCGAAGAAGAATTTCGCGACATGTGTGCGGGAGAACGTTAAAGTTCATTTTGGAGAATGGATTGGTAGACGAGGAATCATTGAGTCCCGCGTTGAATTGTCCCGCACGGTCATGTGACTTGACACCCTTCGATTTCTTCCTATTGGGCCTTCTCAAGGATCGCGTTTTTGCAAGAGGACCACGCACCCTTCCCGACCTACGAACTGCAATTAAAGAAGAATGTGAAAACTTCGCGGACAGCTTGGCTTTCGAAACGTTGCAGTAAATGCATTGATCAAGATGGGCATCAATTTGAACACTTGTAGTAACCCTTTTTCGAATCCCTTTGGATTCGAAGCGAGATATGGCGCAGGCACTACAATTTTGAGTTGTATCAATTGTATGAAAAATGCAACATCATCTGGCCAATTAAAATTAATAGACTAAGGTGGCTAGGACACCTTGAAAGAATGGACACTGGAGACCCCCAAAGACAGATATTGTATCAAGAGCCAATAGGAACCAGGAAGAGAGGCAGGCCAAGATATATATTTAAAACTCAAGTCAAAGATGACTTGAGGAATCTAGAGGTCAGACATTGGAAAGATAGGGCGAAAAATAGGGGGGAATGGGGACTAATTCTTGAACAGGCCAAGTCCCACCCAGGGTTGTAAAGCCAAAGATGATGATGATATACTTGAAGAATAATTTTTTGAATTAACAATAATGATAATTACAACAAATATTGATTAATAAATAATTTTATGTGCAAACCATCTTTACATTCAATAAATATGTGTGATAAATAAAGCTAGTTTAACAGTAAATTATTTTTGGTTATTTAAAGCACCTATATATTTTATTATTATGTATATGCAAATGCAACATTTGAGTTTTTTATTTCACTTTAAACGCGTAAAATCAATTTCGATTCAGCCGTGACGGCTGCTTTCTCACTTATCCCCACCACTACCACCCGTCAATTTTTTCACAGACAAAGTAATTTTAATTGACATTTTAACCAACTTATAGTGGTCTTTAACTAATGTCAATTTATATTGTTCTGAAGCTATTTTCTTGTGGCATTGTAAATTAATTACTATTAAATTGGGAATAAGCCACAGTTAAAGATAAAAATACGTTTATTGACGTTTCAATTTCCACTTCGGAAATCGTTCTCAAAATACAAACAGTAAATTAAACAAATTTTGTTTTTTGTTACATAGTGAAAAATTCTTCTAATAATTTAATTTTATCTGACTCATTTAAATTGACAATTCAGACATACATTATGCATTTTAAAGTAGACGACTATAAAATGATATTGCCAATATTGTTGAGTTGCGCTCCTGGGACGACTTTACTTATAAGATAGTTCATTCGATTACATGAAATCAACTTTAACTTGAGAATATCCGTCAGAAAAAAATCATAGCATGTAATTAGTCTTTAAAAAGACAAACACATGACATGATGACAATAAAATTCTCCTGTTAGTGATTCCATAGTAAATTATGAGGAAAAAACCAGGAAAAAAACCTCATAATACTATCCCGACATTGTAAGTATTTGTTCGTGAATTTAGTTTACCTTCAACAAACATCGAAATTCTGATTTTATATGTTACGTTATTTAAAAAACATAAATGATGTATCCTCTATATGTTACTGACTTACTAATACTGGTATTTTCTTATTAACAACTTCCTCTTTTAATATTGGTAACCAGATCCTACTACATTCTGCCAAGGAATTTGCGACACAATTGGCCTCATTTAGCATAATTAGAGCCGCTTCTTTGATTTTTCTTTTTTTACCATCCGTTTCTTTTAGGACTACATTTGAATTATTCCATTGAACCTTATGTTCATTATCTAAGAACGATACTGGATATGAGACTCAGGTATATAGAAAACCAACACACACCAATAGATATTTAAATTTTAAATCAAATCACAATATTAATGTAAAAAAGGGAATAATTAAATCCTTATACGATAGAGCCAAAATTACTTGTTCTAACGAAAATTCGTTCGTGGAGGAGAAACATTTGTTAACTTCTGTTTTATTAAAAAATGATTATCCTTTATCGTTTATAAATAAGGAATTTTCAACAATCGATCGAATAGAACAGAACAACTTAGAAAGAGATCCTACAGCATACACAAGCAATAATATGAGGAAAATAACAATACCGTACATAAAAGGACTATCAGAAAAACTTAAAAGGATAGGAAATAAATTCAACATTTCAACAACATTCAAAACAACAAACACGTTGAGATCTATTTTGTCCAAAACCAAACCTAATAATGAACAAGAAAGGACAAAGAATTGCATTTATAAAATACCTTGTGAATGCGATCAGTTTTATTTAGGTGAATCATCAAGGCCATTAAATGTTAGAATAAGTGAACATCAATCTTATATTAAAAATAGGGAATTTGATAGATCTCAAATCTGTAAACACGCATGGGATAATGAACATAAGGTTCAATGGAATAATTCAAATGTAGTCCTAAAAGAAACGGATGGTAAAAAAAGAAAAATCAAAGAAGCGGCTCTAATTATGCTAAATGAGGCCAATTGTGTCGCAAGTTCCTCGGCAGAATGTAGTAGGATCTGGTTACCAATATTAAAAGAGGAAGTTGTTAATAAGAAAATACCAGTATTAGTAAGTCAGTAACATATAGAGGATACATCATTTATGTTTTTTAAATAACATAACATATAAAATCAGAATTTTGATGTTTGTTGAAGGTAAACTAAATTCACGAACAAATACTTACAATGTTGGGATAGTATTATGAGGTTTTTTTCCTGGTTTTTCCCTCATAATTTACTATGGAATCACTAACAGGAGAATTTTATTGTCATCATGTCATGTGTTTGTCTTTTTAAAGACTAATTACCTGCTATGATTTTTTTCTGACGGATATTCTCAAGTTAAAGTTGATTTCATGTAATCGAATGAACTATCTTATAAGTAAAGTTGTCCCAGGAGCGCAACTCAACAATATTGGCAATATCATTTTAAAGTCGTCTACTTTAAAATGCATAATGTATGTCTGAATTGTCAATATAAATGAGTCAGATAAAATTAAATTATTAGAAGAATTTTTCACTATGTAACAAAAAACAAAATTTGTTTAATTTACTGTTTGTATTTTGAGAATGATTTCCGAAGTGGAAATTGAAACGTCAATAAACGTATTTTTATCTTTAATTGTGGCTTATTCCCAGTTTAATAGTAATTAATGTCAATTTGTACCCAATTAGTGCTTCATATAAAAAAGGGTTTTATTTAAAATAAACCTTAAAACCTAAATATTTTTATTGTAAATTGCAGTCAACTTTGCCTGATTATACTCCGGTACTAATGAACTGATCATTTTTTTTTCTTTCTTTCTTTTGAAGCACTTTTAATATCTGTTATGAAAATTAGAATAGTTCAACAATTGATCAAGTTATTCAAATTGTTTATAAGCCTAAAATTCAAGTATCTAAACTTTTTAGTTTTGACCTGCATAATTATCAATTTTAATGAAATTTTAAGTGAATAATTAAAGTTTTCTTTCTCGGAATATGAAGGTCCTAAGTTTGATTTTAATATGGGAAATAAACTCGCAAAAAATCCTTTTTTAACTTTTTGTTTTTAATATTTTTTCAATAAGTACTTAAGATAGTAATATTTTTTTAAAGTTTGAAACTACCATTATCTTATATAAAATTCATTTACAAAATTGTATGTCTCATACAAAATTGTTCTAAAAGCGATAGTTCTTAAGATATATGGGAAAAAAGGAGAAGAGAGAAGGAGAATAAAAAGTTGAGCAAAAAAGTTACATTTTACTCACATATAGAGAAATTATCATTTGTATATTTGATATTTTGGACCAATTTATGCAAAGAACTGCATAATGCTTAACACCCAACTACTAAAACTGATACTGTCTTAAGTATAGTAATTAGATAAGTAAATTATAAAAGAAAAGCTTACCAGAAGATTGGGTTGGTAACAAAACTTTTCTATTTTGTCTACTAAGCTCTGGTGAAGTGGTTTAATTTTTGTACTGTGCCTAAGAGATTTCCCATTGTCAACAATTTCCAATCTCTGTGGTCTCTTTCTCTTTCCACATGGTGGCATAGGCGTTTCATCTATGCTCATCCTTTTAAACTTTCGTTTCCTCCTTATATTGGGTCTTGCTGGAGAATGTTCATTAACAGAGTCACTTTCTAGACATTGGCTTACACCTAGAAGAACAGAATATACCATTTATATATTATATCAAATTTTATCAAAAAATAAAATAAATAATTTTTTTTTACAACAACCTTTATAATTTTAAAAACAGATTATATTAATTCTTATACTTATTTTCCTGTAATTTTCCATCAGAAAATATGACAAATCTATTTACAAATTATCTGTTTGTTACAGATCTATATTACTTTTGTGGATTCTTGACTTTCTTTCTTTAAGAATAATAACTTTCATGTTAAATCTCTGTTTAAATTCAACTTTATTACTAAAACATATTTTTATTTTAGCAATAAAAAATTCTTTGATTATAGATTTTCAACAGAATTCAACAATTTGTGCTCACATACATTTTTTATGAAAATCCAGTATTTTTAAGTTCCATATTCATTTGATTTTAAAAATGTACAGATTTTGCAAATTCAAATGTGCAATTCAAAAGTGCAATTAAAATTGTTAATGTGGTCACAAAATGTATTAGCACAACCTTGCATTATTTTCATGATTTTGATATTGAACAGAATACAGAAGATTGATGAAAGCCTGAAAAATAATTTAGAATTTGAAGGCAGTTACTATGTTATGTAATGTACCATACTTTCATATTTGTTTATTAACAAATGTTTTGTCCACTTCTACAGAAATTGCTCAGATCTTAAAATATTTATGAAATGTTGTTCGAATAGATTACATTTTATAAAATGTTTGCAAATATGTATATTAGTACTTAATGAGATTTTTATTTAACCCTGAGACTAAATGAATGAAATGACTAAATTTCTTTGTTCAAATTTATGCATGTACGTGATTCAATAAATAATACCTATAGACAATAGACTTCTAGAAAAGAAGGCATAAAAAGTCATAGTATTACCTTTTAGAAAGTTGTACATTGGGTGTCTCATTCTTAAAGTTCTCTGATTAAATGTTTTATCTACTGTCATGCTAAATGTCATATCATCAGAGTCAGACTGGTGGAAACTGACTAACTTACTACGATGTTTCTCGCTTCTAATTTCTGAATTACTACTAGAACTATCATCAGAACGATTTTCTCCAGCTTTATTTGTGTACAAATCTGAAAGTCAAGGATAAACTAAAAGGCATAGGATTGTTTGGACGACTTACGCAAATTTCCGGCAGATCTGGTCCTTCGCCTCATGCCCCATTTTCCAACATTAATAATGTTAAGGGACCCACAACTTTCTGTTTCTTCTAGAGCAATTGACAAATCTTGAGCTAAATGATCCATTTTTTGTTGATATTTAATAGCGTTTTTATATCAACAAAAAGAACATTCTGCTAAAAAATAAACAGTTTAATATTCAATATAACTTAAAAAATCACTGTTTACTATGTATATTTAGCAAATTCACATCAAAGACCAATACAGATTTTCACAAACTTTTATCTGTCAAAAGGTCGTTGTATATAAACCTGTCAATTCTGTCATGTCGACCAGATATAGAAATGTCAACAATCATATTTGTAAAAGTTCAGTCACAAATTTCTCCAGTGTTGTCAATTCATCAAATCAATTGCCAGTATATTATATGCATCGAGCGTCTTTTTGCTTGATTTAGATACATGTTAGGTTTCAAGAATGTCAGTTCTTTATTTTGTCTATCAGATAAATCTATTTCTATGTATTTAATAAAGTCAACAATAAATATATAAACTTACAGGAATGAAAATATTTTGATGAATAAAGTCAACTTTACACTACATGATTTTTTATCATGTGATTTGTCATATGATTTGGTCATGGAGTGAAATTTGTTTTAAACTATGGTTTGTTTGTTCGAACAGTGAGCGACGCATAATTCACAGTCAGTCTCTATGGTTCTCTATGATAACGGTTTGTTCTGAGCTGAGCGCATTGCAGAGCGATAGGTGTGTATTTCGACAGTGTGCGTTGGAATCAACTGCCATTTGATTTTGACACAAACGTTCAGCTGAACTCACAGCGTACACATCTATACCAAAATATAATTGTATTTTTATATAGTTATTATTATTGTAATAGTTATAATTAGGTGTATAATTAGTAGTAATAATTGGGTGATGACTTCTTTTGTAGGGTTTTTTTTAGTAATGCCATCCCTTATAATTAGTAAGAGTTTCCAATATTCTCAAAATTTTTCCTCGTTTTAAAAAATAATCTTCTTTCGACACGTACCTTTTGTATTACACGAAATAATTTCGTTTACATTTTTATTTATTTTATTTAGATTTGACCTTATCAACTCTTGTTCTTCCTTCTCTTCTTCTCCTTTAGTTCAAGAATAGATTAAACTATTTCAAATGTATTAAATTATTAATCTCTACAAATTTAAATTACAGTTCTGTCGTAGCTTGTCACATATTTCTCAATTCGAGTCTATGTTTCCGTTTAAAATATGGAGATCGCGTACGCAGTTGTTGCCGGCGTATTATTATTAAAAGTCGAGAAGCCAATGCAAGCAAAGATTTATTTTTCATTATAATAGTTTAAAAATCTAATAGTTGTTACCTAGACTGTGTCTTATATCTTTATGACCATAAACTATAAACAAAAAGAAAAATCAATAAAACCTCATTGTCATTCATATCACAAGTCATAACTTATTATTCAGTGTAAACACGATTTTTTAAAAGATCATAGAAACAAGGAATCAACAAATTTCATATGATATTATCATATGATAAATCAACCAGTGTAAAGTCGACTTAAGACTTAAAGTTTGTTATAACAGGAAAAGACATATCAATTTTAAGTAACTCTTATATTTATTTTTGATCTTATGTAGGTATGATATGCAAAATTGTTTGTTTGCTAATATATTTACAAAAACCTTCTTTATGTTCGCATATAAAATAGAAAAAAAATTGTTTCAAAACTGGCAACATTGCATCTAAATTTTGTGACCACCTTTAAGCATCCTTTGAATTCAACCAATCAATGCTCAGCATTTTCATAACAATAATTTATTTATTTAAACGTGGGAATGTGAACTAGCCTTAACCTATATTTGATTATCTTTATTATTGCATCTGTCCGTCTGTCATTCATGTCATCCCTTTGAATAAACAAAACAATTGGATTTTTCAATATTTTCATTGCTCAATTTTCAATTTTGAATTTAAAGACAAACAGATTCAAAAGTACTTGGCAGTTGTTATCTTTATATTCTTTTATTGAACACGAAATGAAGTATTTTAAGAATTTCCTTTGTCATTTGTAAACAAAATGAAATAAACCAACTTAATTTATAAATAACTCCCAAAACAAAAAAATATGGGTAGTAGTTTCCATCACAATTTCTGATCTGTGAAGGCTAAGATTTATGCATCATTTTTCATTGTTTTTTCGTTAGTGCAAAGCTGGTATTTAGGAATAAAATGGACTATTTACCTACCGAAATTATTGAAAGAATTTTAAGATATTGTGATGGAAAAACTTTATTAAATGCTAGGAAAACTGATGACAAGTTTAAAGCGGTAGTGGATTATTTAACGCAGGTACGTTTCTGTTCAATAGCCAAATATAAACATTAAAATAAAATATGATTGTAGTATCCTATGTAGACATTAGTATTTCATTTACATGTATATTCTGCCAGTTAGACAACAAAATCTGTTAAATTTTGGATCGTTAAGAGCCTGTATAATCAAGTCAGTATAGTATTTATATTAGAATTTTGAATACCTGAATACTTTAAAAATTAAACCCAGATGAAATACTGATGCAATTCAAATATAACTGTTAATGGAGTGACTAATGTCCTGTAAATTGTTTCAGTGCTTTCTGCTTCTTTGTGATGTCACAATTATTTTTATATTTCTTTCGAATATATCCCAAGTTGTAAAACCTAAAATTTCTACAAGGCAGTTAAGATTTAATTTCAGTACAGAGCACCACCATTGGCATATACATATTTCTTCCTTTTGAACTATTCAGAGTGAACTTTTCAGTTATTTTAAAAATAATATGCATCACATGCTACAGCAACATCTGAATGAAGTTCTATTGGTTTCTAAAATTTGTAGTTTATGTCCAAGAAATATTTAAAAATGCTTCTTGTGATGTGATTAAAAGCAGATTCAGAAAAAGATCTTTATTTAACAATATAGATAGCAGGAGTGTTTAAAATAACTCCAGAATATACTGAATTTCACAAGTGTCTTAATGTTCCAAGTAGATGCATAAGCAAATAATACCAAAGCAATCGTAATAGTGAATCTACATAAATGTGGAATGATTGATCTGCATAAGAGATAATATGTTAAAATATGTACTAAAAATATGATTGTAGTATCCTATGTAGACATTAGTATTTCATTTACATGTATATTCTGCCAGTTAGACAACAAAATCTGTTAAATTTTGGATCGTTAAGAGCCTGTATAATCAAGTCAGTATAGTATTTATATTAGAATTTTGAATACCTGAATACTTTAAAAATTAAACCCAGATGAAATACTGATGCAATTCAAATATAACTGTTAATGGAGTGACTAATGTCCTGTAAATTGTTTCAGTGCTTTCTGCTTCTTTGTGATGTCACAATTATTTTTATATTTCTTTCGAATATATCCCAAGTTGTAAAACCTAAAATTTCTACAAGGCAGTTAAGATTTAATTTCAGTACAGAGCACCACCATTGGCATATACATATTTCTTCCTTTTGAACTATTCAGAGTGAACTTTTCAGTTATTTTAAAAATAATATGCATCACATGCTACAGCAACATCTGAATGAAGTTCTATTGGTTTCTAAAATTTGTAGTTTATGTCCAAGAAATATTTAAAAATGCTTCTTGTGATGTGATTAAAAGCAGATTCAGAAAAAGATTTTTATTTAACAATATAGATAGCAGGAGTGTTTAAAATAACTCCAGAATATACTGAATTTCACAAGTGTCTTAATGTTCCAAGTAGATGCATAAGCAAATAATACCAAAGCAATCGTAATAGTGAATCTACATAAATGTGGAATGATTGATCTGCATAAGAGATAATATGTTAAAATATGTACTAAAAATAACTAATCCTTTTGTATTATACCATATTTATTGTGTTATTGTTAATTAGGTATTACATTTTTGTTTAGCTCATGTTCTTCTGCTGTAAATGCAATAAAGAGGATTATATCACTTCAGGCTTATTTAAAGCCTATCAGCTATCATCAGATATGATTTGCCATTTAATCCTTTGTTACAATCCCCATATTATGTATTCTTCAATTGGCTTTCACATTCGCTTAATTCCTATATTATTAATTAGTACAGTAGATTTGCGATTATCCAAATCTAGGTATATCTGAACCCCTCAGTTAACTGAGGCAACATTTTGCATTTTATGTTCGCACTTGTTGAATCACAATATCAAGTAATAAAAAAGGGTCGATGGTCACAAGATATATCGGCAGCTGTTATATGGGCAATCCATTGCAAATTGTGGATTACTGATAAGGAGAGAATTGTGTGTAAGGTATGCTTTAGGTCAAGCTGATGTCGAGTTTTTATTCTCAGAAATTGGTCACTGCATTATTTCCAGAAATTTCTGTGTGGTGTTTTGTTTACAACTTCCTGTTCCTGTCTATGTTAATTAATGTGAATTAAACTATTGATTTGTTTGCTGTCGTTTAGATCGTCAAATTCTTTGTTTGCTGTCGGTAAGATCATCAAATTAAGTTACTGTACGGTAAAATTTTTCCCTTTATGTACTGTTTTGTGTATTTATTCGAGTTTATTATTCTCGGTTTTATAATTTATTTTTCATAAGTTAATTTTTGTGAGTGTAAAAGAGCATCTTTCTATGCAATATGAGTGGAAAGCGGAAGAGAGTAGTTGTATCTTATATCACTAACAGTGAGTCAACTGAAGTGTGAGTGGTGGTAGTGGATTGGCCCGGAAGGCTATGAAGAACAGGGACCATGAACCTCATGAACTTCTGAGACGTTGTTCTTGTGGTTTTCACAAATGAGAGGATTGGGCAGCCCAATAAGTGCTCCAATATTCCAAGCAAAAGCTATTGAATTCCAGAAGTTTAAGGATGGAGGAGACAACTTTTGTGCCAGTGAAGGATGGATTGACTTATGGAAGAAGAAATATGGCATCCGACAATTAAAGATTTGCGGCGAAAAACTTTCTGCTGACTCAACTGAAATTGGAACAATTTATTTAAAATTACCAGACATTATCTTTAAAGATGGACTAACTTTAGACCAAATATTTAACTGTGATGAGACAGGTCTTATCTTTAAAATGCTTAAAATGAAAACACTAGCTGCTAAAAACGAAGGAACTGCACCAGGTTACAAAAAAAAGCTAAGAGAGAGAGTCACAATCATGATTTGCAACAATGCTTCTGGTTCATTAAAATTAAAACCTCTTTTAATTGGAAAATCCAGAAATCCAAGGACATTCAAAAATGTCCAAGTAAATTGCTTACCTACAATCTATAGCAACCAACGCAATGTATGGATGGATTGTAACACTTTTAAGGACTGGTTTTTTAACGACTTGTCAGTCACATCCCTAATAAAAAAAATCTGCCCCAGAAATCTTTGTTGTTGTTGGACAATGCACGATCCCAACCAGATGCGAGTGAATTGATTAGTGGTGACATACAAGCTGTGTTCCTTCCACCCAATATGACGTCTCTCATCTATCTCCTAGACCAAGGCATTATAGAAGCAATGAAGAGGAATTATCGGCGGAAGTTTCTTCAGGCACTACTAAGCTAATTGAAGGGCTAATCTAGTTCTAAACGTCACCCCCCATGAAGAAGAAGATACATATGTGATAACTCAAAATATTTTTCATTCTGATGGATTGAAGTCCATTGTCACATACAACGAGCAACAAGAAGAATTGACACCATTAGATGTCCTCCGTTTTCAACGTTGGCGCAACATCGCTGCTTCAAAAAGAGGAATGAAATGAAAAAAAAAACTCAATTAAATACTTTGTTAAACAGTAACATGTATAAGATAGTTTTGATTATATTTTATACTACTTTTATATTACTTTTTAGTTATTAAAATAAACACATTAATCATTATTTATGTAGTACACATTGTTCTATCGGAAAAGAAAATCTAGTCAGATATATAAAGGCCAATAGACTCAGATGGGCAGGGCATGTGATACTTGTTATTGTTATTGACAGTTTTTTTTAACCAAAATCATTATAACCTTCATTTTTCAGAAAACACAAATCTGGAAATGTTGTTGTAATGAAGATATACCAAAAAATCAACTTATAGAATATTTGCAACGTTACAATGAAGAGAGCTATGATAAATGGTTAAATATTTACATAAATTGGAGTTCTTGGGAAAATCCTAAACAAGTAGTGTGTGATATTATTTTAAGTCCAGTAGAAGTACCTAAAATATCATGTATGGCTGTTTCTCGTCATTTTATAGCTGTGGGATCCCAAGACGGTCGACTTAGGATATTTACCAGCCAGTGGAAGACTGTTTTTGCTGCTAGGCTCTTAGCAGTAAAGATAAATAGTCTCACTTTTATTGAAAGTAATTCAATTTAATTAATAGCATAAAATGCGAAAGTTAGAACTCATTTAATATCAAAACCTCCAGTAAAACCCATATTTGTACCAGTATACAGTATGTTTACTAAGGAAGTTTTCCTACAAATCAACATAAAATGAGCTCTAGAATTCGCTGTGTTTGAAAAAATATGTAAGTCACCACAAATGTAACACACAATTTCTTTTAGGTGAACATGATGCAAAAGGGATGTATATGTGTCTTGCACTTTCATTTAACAATGGTCTTAATATATTTTGCTTTGATGGACTGTATTCAAATCAACTGGAAGTCCATGATGTAAAATCTCACAGGTAATTAATTTTTGTTCTACATTTTTACTAGGGAAATATCTCAATCATATTGCTATTCTCTGTCTTTATTAAGTAAATTAATCTCAAAAGTGTTTGTTTTCACCTTAAAATACTCTTTATTTTCAAAGACCATTTTAATACAAAGACCATTTTAATAGTGATTCTATTTTGTGCACACTGTTCTTATGATCAGTAGGACAAGTATTTTTATGATTCTTCTTTGTATTTTCAGCGTTTACAAAAATTATATTTGTTACGAAAAAATAGGAGGACGAATTACGATAGCAAAATTAACCAGCATTGAAGGAGGTAGGCGGGAATTGTCGGAAATTTGGTTTTCCAGGATCTATTCGCCATCATGTTTATCGTGTATGAAGATGTGGGACGGCGTTTGTACGTTCCTAATCAATAACGAAGTAAAAATAATAGAATATGGAACCATAGAAGGGTCCACTATGGATTTAATGAAGAAGAAAACGAAAATTTCGTTTAATTTTCCTTTAAGTGATACTCCCGTGACTCAGATATTAAGAAATGATGTAATAATTAGTTTAAGTAAGTATTATGTTTTCTTAAAATTGAAATTTCTACTTCTTTACCATCTCAAACAGACCATTTTATCAGATTGCTTTTAGTTTGGTTGGTATATAACAAGTTGTTCAATAAGTTTGTTGTTCAATAATAGATGGCGCTATTAACTTCATAATTTTATTTAAGGTGGCGCTAGTTTGTCGTTCTATAAGAGATGTCGCTATTAAATTCGTCGTTTTATGTTTCATAACGTGGCACTACTTTGAAGTTTTATGGAGATCTGTCAAGTCATTCATATTTTTACAGCTCTTTGGAGTGAAAAAAATTGGAACTACGTAGTGTAGCGTTAAATTTTATTTTTGGAAGATGTGATACCAAAACAAATGAATAAACGGTTTTTGAAAGTGTATATGGATTCATTAGAAAGTTTCAAAGACCATGATATAAAAATAAGAAGGTCCAAAAAATCCATCAACTCCAAATGCTTACAAAAATGAAGGTTGTTTTTATAATTATTGAACTTTGATATTCGAGCATTCAACCTTATATCAATTTATAATTATTGATTAATCAAGGGAGTTTTAGTGAAGTCCTTGGAATCTTGTTAGTCATTTTGTGCAATATTTCAATGAAATTTTAAGTTTCTAACACTGTTTGTATATGTGTCATATTTGGAGCATTTTAAAAAGTATATAAAGCAAATATATACTTTTTTATCACTATGGATGGTTTTACATTCAAATGAAGAACTAGGGATGGTGTGAACCCTGTAGTTCGGTTTGAGGGCAAATTAGGATCCATAAACCGACAAAGAAAGTGCCAGCATCAGTTTTTTGGCTCACAAAAGAAATTTTTTCTAATAGTTTACTTCTAAATTGGTGAATTAATGAATTTATATTATTGTTGTAAGTTTTCAGACTAGCTTAGAAGGGGTGCCAACCCGGTATTTAGACTCAAAAGTGAGTTCGTATGGTTCATATTATAATCAAAAAAAGTGTTAACATCAATTTTTCATGTCTCAAAAGGATATTTTCTCCTGGATTACCGCTAAACTGGTGAATTAATAAACTGAGATTATTACTGTAAGATTTCGGACCAGCTAAGGAGTCGAGTGAATCCAGTACTTCGATTTAGAAGTGAGCCAGGATTCATGTATAAACTGAGATTATTACTGTAAGTTTTTGTGCCAGCTTATGAATGAATCCGGTACTTCGTCTCAAAAGTGAGTTCGGGTCCATATATCACCAAAGAAAGTGTTAACATTAGTTTCTTCGGTCTCAAAAGTAATTTTTTCTCTTTAATTGCTTCTAAATAACTTCGAAATAGCTGGTAAAATAGCTTAGGGGTTGAATGAATCCGGTATTTCGTCTCAAAAGTGAGTTGGGGTCCACGTATCACCAAAGAAAGTATTAAGATAAGTTTTTTGGGTCTCAAAAGTAATTTTTTCTCTATTACTTCTAAACCGGTGAATTAATAAACTCAGATTATTACTGAAAGTTTTCGGACTAGCTAAGGAGGCTTCTACATTTTTTTGACTCCAAGAGAAATTTTGTCTCCTAACTGGTCAAATAATAAACTCAAATTATGATTGCAACCTTTTTAACATAAAAAAAGAAAAGAATTTTTTTTTCAAGACAAGGCATCTTTTCACAAAACTCAAAAACGATCACAAAAGTCAGTTAATTCAAGTACGAATATCTATTCTGTCTTAATTTAAAAAGAGTGTTCAATTAAGGAATGTGATTATAGAATCATTGAATAAGCGCCGCGCAGGCAATTGCGGCGCATATTGTTTATTACTGTTCTTCCTATATAAATAAACCACGTATGCAGTACATTAAATCATTGTAACTTCATTGGGATTGGGACAAAATTTCTTATTCTTCTTCAAGTGCCCTGTCCGTTGCGAACGTTGGCTATTAACATGGCAATTTTGATCTTGTTTGCGGCGCTTCTGAATAGTTCGACCGATGTGAGCCCGAACCACTTCCGCAGATTTTGGAGCCACGAGTGTCTTCTCCTGCCTGGCCCTCGCTTACTGTCTATTTTTCCCTGGACAATCAATTGTAGCAGACGGTACTTATCGTGTCTCAATATGTGGCCTAGATATTCAAGCTTTCTTTGTTTAATTGTATTCACGATTTCTTTCTCTTTTCCGATTCTTTGGAGTACCTCTATGTTGGTGATATGTTCGGTCCAGGATATACGAAGAATGCGTCGGTACACCCACATTTCGAATGCTTCTAGTTTTCTCGTTAGCGTCTCCGTCAGCGTCCAGGCCTCCACGCCATACAGCAAGATCGGAAAAATGTAGCATTTAACTATACGTAGTTTTAGGGGAAGAGACAAATCCTTGCTTATGAGGAGCTTTTTCATATTGCTAAATGCTGCTCTAGCTCGTTCTATTCTCGCCTTAATTTCTATGGTCTGTTCCCATTTTGCATTTACGTTGGTGCCAAGGTACACATAAGACTCTACATGGTCAATTAATATGTTACTTATCCGTAATTGTCGAGCAGGTTGCTGCTTTTTGCTTATCAGCATCCACTTTGTCTTCTTGAAGTTGAGGCTCAGGCCGTATTCCTCACTAACTGAATAAAGTCTTTCCATTACTTGTTGTAATTCGTCTATGGTACTGGCAAGGATCACCGTGTCGTCGGCGTATCTTATATTGTTCGTTAACTCGCCGTTTATTTTAATGCCCTCATTTGCATTTTCCATACATTTCTTAAATATTTCCTCGGAATACATATTGAATAGGAGTGGGGATAATATACACCCCTGACGGACACCTCTTTTGATCTGCACGCTTTCAGTGAGTTCGTTGCCAATTTTTGCTCTTGCTGTTTGACCCCAGTACAGGTTTGCCACAATTCGAATGTCCTTGTCGTCAATACCTGTTTTTCGCAGAATACCTATCAATTGTTCATGATTGACATTGTCAAATGCTTTTCTAAAATCTACAAAGCACAGATACACATCTTTATCAACGTCTCTACACCGTTGTATAAGCACCTGGAGAGCGAAAATTGGTTCTCTAGTTCCAAGTGCTTTCCGAAAACCAAACTGCGATCTATCAATATGTGACTCACATTTATCATATATTCTTCTGTGAATGATCTTAGTGAACGCTTTAGTGACATGATTGATCAAGCTTATAAGCCGGTAGTCATCACAAATCTGGGCATTTGGTTTCTTCGGGATTGTAATAAATGTTGACTGTAGCCAGTTCTCCGGGATTTTACCGCTATTATATATGTTGTTAAAAAGTACAACTAGATTATCAAGGAACTGTTTGTCTGATTTACATAGGATCTTTAATATTTCGCAGGGTACATTGTCCGGACCTGCTGACTTATTGTTTTTTAGTGTTGCAATGACATCTTCTATCTCCGATTTAAGAATTGAAGGTCCTGTTACTACTTCTCCATATAGGTGATCATCAGTCCTGTTAGATGCAAATAATTTTTCTATGTATGATTTCCATGTTTTTAAGGTCGTTGATGGCTCCGAGATAAGATTTCCATCGCTATCTTTTATGCTGTTGGGTGACTTATTGAATTTCCTCTTGTTTTTTTTTTTAAACAAAATTTAGACAAAATTTAAACTTTAAAAATAATATAAAAATGTCTGGGTGGTTTGTGTTTAAATTTATTGTATTTAAATTTATTTATTTATTTAAATATATTATTTATTTAACCCCCTCTGTGGTAAGAGCGCCTACTTTTGAACGTAAAGGACGTGAGTTCGAATCTCACCTGGATGGAGAAATTTTCGTTTATTAAAAAATTAAATCAAAATAATTTCTATCCTTGTGCGATCGGTACTCACCGGAGGGACCGCAGACGTTCGGATACAATTAGCGTCTCTTAGCAAAGACAATGACGTCGACTTTGCTAAGTATCAAGACAATTACTCTACACCTACACACACTACACTAGGTACCTGACTGTAAAAATTCACTGTACCATGCCAATGACCATTAGTTGTCGACGCATTAAACTCAATAAAAAAAATTATTGAGTTTATTCATTTTATTTATATAAAAAATCCATTGTTCGATTTCTGTCTTTTGCATAACCATCAATAACACGAGCATTAAAGTCTGCAATTGTCGAAATCAACTCCTTTTCTGCAAGGAGTCTAAATTCACTTGCTATGTTCTGTGAACATAGCAAGTAAATTTAGTCTGCTGCATTGTATTTCTCAGTAAATATTTAATCATTTTCAATGTAGAAAAACAACGTTCACTTTCGACACTGGTCATTCGAATTTTAGAGATAATTGAAATAACATGACAGTTTCACTAAAACTTTCGGTCAGGTTTCTATCGATAAGAAGTTGTAAGATTGCCAACGGACTTCCGGCGTGATGAAAATATTTTGTGCCATAAATAACACACAATTCACATTTAAGTTTTTCTTTCTGAAAAAAGTTATAGGTTCGCGTAACGGTATTAAAATCATAGGTAGGAAAGTCTTTTTTATATTTGTTGAATTTTTCAGAAAAAAGTTTTGAAGCCAAAAAATGTTCTCTAAAATGAAACCTATCTTTAGAATAACTAATTTAATTAATCAGGATATCACACTCTTCTTTTGTTTGTGCAGAATTTGATACTGATTGATGACGCTTCTTCGGTGGTGAAGGTGGACGATTCAAGTTACGAATATTTAAAATGGTTTTGTCAAAACTGTTTAAAAATCCGTTCATTCTAACGGCATCCAAAGATCGAGATTGAAATTTTTTAAAAAGAATTTCACAGTGGGGCATTATTTGAGCGAAAAATGTAAGCCAATAAATGAAACTTGCATTATTTAAATACCCCAGCAACGCCTCTGCTTGATTTATTGTAGTAAAATCGTATTTCGTCTAGCATGCTAATTATTTTTGCTAGTCTTGGAAAAAAGGCGGAAATGCATGTGCATTGACAAAAAAGTTGGCTACATTTGCACGAACATAAATACTTTTCTGCATATTTAATTAAATTAATGTGCAGAAGTGCAGAACAATGTACACAAAATGCGTAAGGAAAATCTTTTCTTATAATATTTTGAACACACCTTCCCTTCCTGACAATACAACCGCTTCACCATAGCTGTAACCTATTAGCTGATTTACTGATATATTAAGCAGTTCCAACTCTTAATTTCTGTGGTTGTGCCACTGGCACTATGTGAAACAGGTTCTAAAAATTTTCAAAACCGTTCGTAGTAAATTTAACCATTTCGCTCATATAATAATAACAAGTTTCTGATGGGTAGAAACATCAGTAGTTTCATCTAACTGAATAGATACAAACGGTGCCTCAGAAACCAGTTTTTTAATCTCTTCCTGGCAAACAGATACCTAATATGTCGTTTTGAACTGATTTTGACGTACCTTAAAAAACATTATTTTCCTGCAAATCCTGTTTCATGGTCATATCGATTTCTGATACAAAATCAATGAGGCCCCTGTATATTCCTAGATTTAAGCTTTCTGATGAAGCACATTTTTGTGCTTCTTTGAAGCACAAAATTCACACAATCGATAAGACGGGACAAAATGTAACGATTTTTTAACTTGGTCGTTAAAGTATTTTATTGATTTTCGATAGTCAGAATCTAATAATTGGCGAACATCAATATTGCCAACATCCAGAGTTGCAATTCATTTTTTAAATGAATTTGGAAAGAGCATTGTTTTTTAATTTTTGTTTTTGTCTACTCTGAAGAAATAGTTTCATTCTTTGAAAACACTAAACATGGAAAACAAAACAAAGAATGTAGTTTATCACACCCGTTCTATATTGTTCAACTTTAGAACAACGTTTAAACTTTTTTTTTCTTATGGCACATTCTTGTACAAGTTTATCTCCGGCCGAGGTGGTCCATTCTTTTTTATAAGAATCGACTTCATGCTTAAACTACTAATATTATATTTAATATTTAACTAAATAACACAACAGAAAATACCAAACTGTAAATCGAAACGCTCAGGTCTCTTTGTGCAATAGGCCAATGGCTTGTTTTACGGATTTTAAGATCTCTCTTTCTAACTACAGGGTTACTGTTCACTGTCTGGGTTTAATTTGAATTCCGTACTTGGCACGTGCAAATAAAATTATATGTTAATGATACTATGATATTTATAAGATTAAAAAAATATTTTAATGATGCTATTGTAATATTATTGTAAATCTAATTTATTGTCTTTATTTATTATAAAAATGTTCAGTTTTACAACACAAGTTACACACAAGCTTACAAGTTTATTAAAGTCTTTATTTATACAATACTACACTAATTTATTTTTTTACAATATAATTTATTTACAAAGCACGTGGTGTTCGTGTGTATCAAGGTATAAAAAAGTGCTTATTAAAAGCTTAAAACTTTATTTTAAAGAAAATCTTTTCGGAATTTAAATCATTACATCGTCAGTTTAATAAAAAGTTGTTAAAAACATTGTTTGGCCACAGAAAAACACTAGAAGGACATCAATAATAAAAAATCCTCGTGGAATTTACAAAGGTAAATGCAATAGACCATTACCTTCAGTATTAATAAAAACTACAACTGGGGGCATTTAACATGTCCCCCAGGAGCTGATGAAATTTTGTTGACTTACATTACCTCTGAACTGTGTGGGAGTCTAGGGCTAACTAGTTATTGCATTTACTTTTGTAAATTCCACGAGGATTATTTATTATATTTATTTATATACTGATGTCCTAGTGTTTTTCTGTGGCCAAACAATGTTTTAACAACTTTTTATTAAACTGATGATGGAATGATTTAAATTCCGAAAAGATCTTTAAAATAAAGTTTTAAGCTTTTAATAAGCACTTTTTTTATACCTTGATACACACGAAAACCACGTGCTTTGTATTCAACAGGTATACTAGCCACCCCTGGATATCTCCACTTCATCGTTTTGTTCCAGTTTCATTTCTGATTTTATAATTTATTTACATTTTTACAATACGCGCGTTACATTTCAAACTCGATACAATTATATTTTCGGACTGCTCGCTTTTCAATAAAATGTTCCATATATACCAAATAACGGTTATTCTCGAAGTGGATGGTGACCTTCATGAACTTCCTCGATCGCCGTGAAACCAGACAGGTTTTTTATTCGACCCTCTTCTGGAAAGTTCGAATCGCAGCTATAATAGGGGACCCGTGGGCCTAAGAATCTAGAAAATATCAGAATGAAAAATATGTTTACAGTTTAGATATGAGTCATTATTTATCGTAACACTATAAAGCTGAGAATACATCTAAGCGACAACGATCGCGTTCGAGTTCACGATGGCGATGGCGATCTTGGTTTCTGTAGAAAGCGAACACATCGGACTGATAGCGACCTGCGATTTTAAATACAGTTGGAAATATAGTTTCTATTTTTCCGTTTACAAATGCAGATATTTTGCAGAAAGCAACAACGAGAATTTTATAAATTTTACCCAGAACTTCGCAGATATGAGAACCGTTTCTATACAAATTTTAGAACGAATTTTGAAAGTTTTGATGAAATTTTAGATCAGACCAAAAATTACCAAACAACAAACAAATTTTAAGGAACCAGTTGATGCTACAGAATGATTTTATTTTTTATATGTACGTACTTGTAATTTGGGTGGGACAGGTCGAAAAACATAATTTTTTTACAATTTCGATAAATTTTTCGGTATACATTTTTATTTCCATCGATACGACCAGCCATAAACGTAAACTGCTACGTTCTGAACGCTAAACTAATTATATCGCCATTATATCGCCGCGATTGCCGTCAGAACGCTGCACAAATTTCTTTGATCGCCAGCAGGTCGCGATCAGTATGTGCTGATTCACTTGTTTGTTTCAGATGAATCGAATCGCGGTCGCCATCGTGAACGCCATTGCGTAGTGATTGCTTAGGTGTGTTTTCCACTTAATATTTATCAGATTTAAAAAAAAATCTGTATTTTAATGAAACTTTATTGTGTTTTCACTGTACAAGACAGTGAACCAACGGGGAAACCTTCCCTGTTTCTGACTGTATTTTTTATATCGAACTTTAAAATTTATTGAACCACCCATTGGTATTTTAGGTAAATGTGAAGATTTCCTTAATTGTAATCTTATCGAATTTTTTCTACTCGGAGAGAACGACAAATGCAGCAAGAAAGCGTTCAGTATCTGGGAGATATTTAAATGCTTCATCACTTGCATTTACGTTTATGGAAACACCTTAATTTTAGGCACCGACGTCGGAAGCGTAAGTAAACAACTTAATGCTTAATTTATTAATTTGTGCTACTCTTTGAACTCGCTTTCGCGCATTTTTCCAAGCTTCTGATTAAAAAAGTAACAATTGTTACAACCCAACTTTTTTCACCTTTCCCCTAAACTATCCAGACAGCTAACGGAGTAGGTACTATAACGATAATTTTATAAACCTACACTCCTCAAAAATGGTGTGCCACTTAAACAACCAGTATCGAGCGCTGACTGAAAATCAAGACTGGATCGAGCTCTTACATTTAAAGCTACTCCCATAATTCGAATCCCAAAATTTTCTACAGAAACAACATAATTCAAAAGTTTTTCTTCTTCTTCTTTTTATGTAAACATGACTTTGTCTCTTTTTTAATATGCCTCCAGTAAGTTGTCGTTCAATCGTTTTTGTGGTCTTCCTACTGATCATCTTTACTATTTTATTTGTTGTCATTCGGCTTATATGATTGTTCCATTCTACTCTTCTATTTCTTACCCAGTTCTTGATGTTCTCCACGTTCCATCTACGTCGTATATCTGTACTTCTAGCTCTGTCCCATAGTGTCTTACCATCAATTTTTATAAGTGTTTTCATCTCTGCTGTTTCTAACATCCTCTTTGTTATCTCTGGACAGAGAATACAAAATGGATATTAGAAAGACGTCTGTCAGGTCGTGTTTCTGCTGCGTATGTCATTGTTTCATTCAGGAAACCTGCGGCTCTGTTAACTCTTCACTTGATCTTCCACTTCAGTTTCGAGCTTTTCGTAGCTACATAATGTGATGCCTAGATATTTACGCTCCATCACTTGTTCTATTATCTCCAGCTCCAATTTACATCTTAGTAAATTTGTTGTTGTAACCATGCATTTTGCTTTTTTTTTGGGGAAATTAACATGTTAAATTTTCTGGCGGTTATATTAAATTGGTGCAGCATACGTTGTAAATCATCTTCACTTTAAAAGAGTAGTATTGCATCGTCTTCATAACAGATAATTTTAAGTTGTTTTTCTCCCATTTGGTATCTTTTGTTAGTTCTTACTTTCGAATTCGAAAGTTAACTGGTACAATTTGGGGAGTTCAACCCACTATATTAAGGACCTCAACCCTGCCTTTGTGTTTCTCTACATTTCGTTCCCGCTTTGTTCACGCTTGCTACGTTGATCAAGATATTAATGAGACTAGTCTCTAGGATATACAAAACAATAAGAATTGCTTCTCACAGTATCAGAAAATCCGGGAATTTTGAAATTAAAAAGAAAGAACAAAATAGTGACCCGAGCCATCCTATATTTGGCTAAAGAAGGATTAAAATCTCGTATAAGTTTCATTAGTTCCACGACTTCATCTAAATACACTGCCAGATAACGTCGCCTTCAGTTGTAAAGGAAAACTTTGTCCGTTCTTGAGACCTAAAGAACTGGATATGGGATATGCATTACTTTACACCGTCTCGAGAACCCGATACGTTACATTTTACAAAATTTTGTATAACACTCAGTATATAGTTTATTTTTTTGTTAAGTATTTCTTAGGAAATAATTTTATGCCGTGTTAATAAAATTTCGGTATCGAAGCCCACCATCCGGTCTGAATTCGATTAACATATTATTTAAATTATTGTAAATACATTCTTATGTTCTATTCTTATATTTCTAATTAATATTTTGAATAGTCTATTTTTTTTCTCTATTCGGATTGCCGAATATAGGCCTCTCCTAATTCTCACCATTCATCTCTGTTGTTTGTAAGACGTTTTAACATTGGCCCTGCAGTTCTTTTAATATCATCGCTCCATCGCATTTGCGGTCTTCCCCGTGGTCTGTTGGCTTCATATGGTCGCCAATTCCCGATTTATTTATTCCATTGGCCGTCCGTAAAACGTTCGTTATGTCCAGCCCATTTCCATTTCAGTTTAGCTGCCTGTTCGACAGAATCTTTTACTTTTGTTCTATTACGAATGTCTTCATTGGTTTTATTCAGCATCTGTCGTTCCATAACTCTCTGAGTGTTTCTTACCTTCTCCGTATTTATTTTAGTGAATATCCAGGTTTGATCTCCATATGTAAGCACAGGTAGGATATAGGAATTAAACACTTTTGTTTAATGTGCTGCTTATTTCGGTAGTCTGATTTTTTTGCCTACCTTGACATTTTGATCCTGATATGTATATTCATCTGCGTGTTCTATCTCTGTCCCCACGATGTTTATCATATGTTTGTCATCTTTGTTTGACGTTAGTTTAGTTTTTGTGAAATTCATTTTCAGTTCTTTTTTTAGGGATTCTGTGTGTAACTCCTTAATCATCGTATTCAGTGCAATACACGTGTCGGCTATTAGTACCACATCATCTGCGTATCTAAGATGGTTCAAGTACCTTCCGTTAATAGGGATTCCCTTATTTGTCCAGTCTATTGACTTGGAAGATATCTTCTAGGGCAGCTGTAAATAATTTTGGAGATCATGAATTTTGGAGATATTGTGTCTCCTTGTCTTACGCCTCGGTTAATTTTTACTGGTCTTGTTTCGATTCCGCTACCCAATGTCACTATCATTTCAGCTTGTTCGTAAAAATTATGTATTAGTATTCTGAACCTGGAGTCTATCCGGTTGATGACTAATGCTTCTTCAATTGCCCACAGTTCTACGCTATCAAAAGCTTTTTCATAATCTATAAAAGCCAGACATAATGGGAGATTGTATTCGCTAGTCTTTTCTATTAGGGTTTTTAAAGTGTATAGATGGTCATAGGTGCTGTACCCTTTTCTAAATCCGGCTGATTGTACTGGTTGATATCCGTCAAATTTAATTGTTAACCTGTTTGTAATAATCTTTGTAAAGGTTTTGTAAAGTTGTGAAAGAAGTGAAATTGGTCGATAATTTTTCAGGTCTGTGATGTCTCCATTTTTATGTATTAGTATTGTTTCAGCAGTATTCCATTGTTCGGGTATGTTGCTTTGGAATAGACATTTATTAAATAATATTTTTAGATATGTGATGGCTTCTTCTCCGCCTTCCTTCAGCATTTCTTCTAGAATTCCATCGCTTCCAGGAGCTTTACTCCTTTTTATTTCTTTTACTGCTCTTTCTATTTCTTCGTGGCTTATTTCGGGCATCACTTCTGAGTTGACATTTGTTATCTGCCTTTTCAAGTTCTGATGTGAGGAGTTAGGGGGATCGTTTCTGGAACGGTACAGATCGGCGTAGAACTTTTTAATTGAGTTTGCAATATCAGATTTACTTTTTTCTAGTTGTACTTGTTCATTTTTAATGGTTATTATGTTTTTCTTTCCTAGTTTCGGTTTGGTGCATTAGAGACTTCGGTTTTTCTCTATGATTTGTTCTATACGGTCTTCTTGATGTTTTTTTAATGTCCTTTTTTTTATCTATTTTCTTATTACTCGATTAAGTTCCTTAAATTCTGCAGTGTCTCTTTTGTTTTGTGTCAAAAGATCTTTTCTTTGTTGTCTACACTTATTTTGGATTTTCGTTTACTGTTACCGGTTGCTACTTCTGAGCTTGCATTTAATTGTTCTTTTGTTATAACTTCATTGATTTCATTTAATCAAAGTTTATCTAGATTTAATACTTTCGCATGATGTAATTTGCTTTTATATTGTTCTGTATTAGATTTTAGTTTATCTGTGTCTATATTCCAAGTTTTTCTAAATTTATGTCTATTTTTATTATGTTTTATCCCTAATTTGGCTCTAACCATTCGGTAATCGCTACTTACTGACGCCGTATTTATTACTTTTACGTCCTGTAGGATATCTGATTTGTTATAAGTATGTAATCTATTTCGTTCCGAGATTTTCCGTCTGGGGATAGCCACCTCCACTTTCTTTGAGGTTTTTCCTTATAGAATATGTTCATTGCATAGCAATGTGTGTAGGAAGTTAAAGAAGGTTTCTCATCTCTTCATCGGGATGCGCTGCGGTTGGAGCGTATACTTGAATAATTGTCAGGGAGATGTTCTCGTTTACATTTAACCTAATCATTGCAATTCTTTCAGATATTCCTACAAATTGCTCTACTTTATGTGCATATTTCTTGGAAATTAGAAATCCTACGCCCTCTAGACTTTGTTCTCCTCGCCCTTTGTAATATAAGACTTTACCGGACTCTAGTGTTATGCACTCTTCTCCTTTTCTTTTTACCTCTGCTAGACCAATAATGTCCCATTTTAAGTCTTTGATGTCTTCTTCGAGTTCGTAGACTTTTTCATCTTTGCTTAAGGACCATATATTTAGAGTGACGATGTTCAATCGTGTGGTTTTTAGCGATTTATTGCTTTCCCCAGATTCCATGAAGCTGTCTTTTTTCCAAAGGAGTGGGATTTGCCATTACTGTATGGTCTACCCATCTTAGGACCCATTCCTTTTGTTTTAGATATCGCCATATTAGGAGTTTTTTAGCCTTAAAAACAACACGCTGGCTAGACGGGTTGGCGAGTGATTTTATACAATCCCTAAAATCACGGGATTGGCACTTCCGCCATTCACACCGTACCGAAGGTATTCTTCTCCACCGTGGCTGCCATTGTGGACTTCATCCGTGACCCTGGACAAGAGACTCTAAGCAGGTACTAGTTTCCCGGGCCAGGAAACACCTGGAATCTGCGGAGTCTCTATTTTAAACATGTTGAAATCGAAATGAATTAACTAAAAAGTTATTTGTGTGTACTTTGTACATATCTAACTAAATTTTCTCATTTGATTGCAAGACAGTTAAGGCGTTGCAAAGAGAAATTAGGGTAATTAAGACGGTTTTTAGTTAAATTAGTATTTCTCTTTGATTTCTGTTCTTGATATTCAAATATTTAAAAACAGTAGCGCCCGTTTTTGAGAGTTGTTCTCTTCCCTGTTCTGTTTTCAGTTGTTCTCTTCCCTGTTCTGTTTTGTTGTTTGATGTCTATGTTTCTCGTGTTTTCCTTCAAGTAACTTCATAAGTGTATCAAGTTCACTTCTTAGCAATTGGTACAACCGTTCGTAGATCCATTTATTTGACTTTGTTAAGGTAAATT